CTGAGCCAGAATGGGGGGTGTGGCAACCTCGGAAGGCTTCCTGAAGGAGTGATCCCAAGCTGATCGAAAAGATCGAGGATCAAAGGAAGCTCACGTTGTCCCGGGCACTTTTATTTACTTATTCATTCAACAGATACTTGGTCAGCCACTCTCTGCCGAACACTGGAGATATACCAGTGAACAAAAAAGACGAAACCACCCACCTTCATGGAGCTCTAGTGATGGCCAGGGCAATGGTGGGGGTGGGCAATAAAATAGAAGAGTTAGCCCATCTGATTGTGATATGTGGTGTGGAAAAAGGCAAAGCAAGGAAGGTGGGCAGAGGGGGCTCCCTAATATCATCCATGTTTTACATCCAGGCAGGCTGCCTCTGGAGCCTGTGCTCCTGGATGCCCGCTCTACTTTGGCCTGGACAGCAGCAGCCAACTGCAGCCCGAGGAGGGCACGGGGAGGGCGCTCCAGGCAGAGGGCACAGCCTATGCAAAGGCCTGTGGTTGCCGGAGCAGGAGAGGGTTGCTGGAGTCCAGGGAGAGAGGAGAGGGCATACTGAGGCCAGGCCGGGGGTGCGGCAGCTGTGGCGGGGGGGGGGTGTTCAGAGCCGACAGGGATTCGGAGTTCCCCGGCTTTGGTGCTGGGCTGGCTGCATGGGCGGCATGAAGAGAGAGGAAGAGGGTGTTAGGGCTGAGCGCCAGGCCTTCGATCTGGACACTGGGGTGGCAGTGCCGAGATGGGCACCCAAGAGAAGTGCGGGTAGAAGTGGTGGACAGAAGGGGCTGGCTTCCAGGGAGCTTTCACGTGGGGTCCGAGCCCTGCCTCTCTGTCCGCCCGAGCCCGGGATCCCGGGTCCCGGCGCTTGTATGGGGCCGGGCTCCTGCAGGGTCACAGCTGAGCCGTTCTGCGGAGGGGCCGGGAGGGGCTCCCGCCCTGGCCCCAGCTCGCCGGGCCCCCAGCTGAGCTGTAAATGACTTTTCCATTTTCCGAGACCTGCGCCCAGGCCTGTTTGGTATTCAGGGACGCCAGGCCCACACTCGCCAGCTCTCGGCTCTGCCCGAATTACTTGATTAAAACGCGTATCAACTATTATGTGATTCGTTTCTCTGCCGCAGCTCGAGCCGGGCCTATGTTAAACTGTAATAAAGACCTGGTTAGGAGGCAGCAGGGAGGGGGAGCGCAGGAGTGGTGGGGGGGGGCGGGGAGGGCGTCGCTGGGTGGGGGTGCAGGGGTGCACTGAGAGAAGGACCCCAAACCTCAAGGCCACAGCTGGCTTCCTCAGATCTAGGAGGCCAGGGCTCCTGCCTTTTGAGACACTTCATTTCAAGAGTCTTCCTCTGGCCAGAGGGAGAGCAGGGAAAGTTTGGGGGCGGGGATGGAGAACAAGCCACCTGGGCCCCCCTCCCCCACATGCCCTCCCCCAGCTCAGAAATGGAATTCTCCACCACCTGGCAATACTCTGTGGCGAAGGTGACTCTCGCTGGGCTGTGAGTCCTGAGTCCTGGGTTTTCTTCCCAGCCTCGCTGCCCCAGGACCCCACTAATCATTTGTAAAATGGGGCTAATACGTCTGCTCTGTCCTCCAGGGTTTTTGGGAGAGACTGTGGTGGAACAGGGGACAGAGCTTATAAACTGTAGGGTGAGGTGCACATGCATTGGGTGATGACTGTTGCTGTGTGTCCGAGTTCAAAAGGCACTTTGTAATTGTTCCGCCAAGCCCTATTCATCTAGGGGGCCTTTACTGAGTGCCTGCTGTATGCCAGGCACAGTCTCTGCTCCATTCGGGATTCTCCCAGTCTGATGGGACCGAGAGACCCAGAAACAGGTAGGTTCGGGGTCCCCTGATGAGCTTTGAGAGCCCAAGAAGGGGCACAGAGACCGGCGTGGACGCGCTCAGGAAGCCTTGCTGGGGGAGGCCCCCCATGAACTGGGATGAGCAGGAGGGAGCCCAGTGGAAGGGGGTGAGGCATTCCAAGCAGAGGAAGCTCACGGTTAAAGGCAGGGAGGTGTGAGACAGTCTGGTTCGGTCACTTAAGGATGCCAAGAGCTGGCCAGGGAAGCTGGTGGAGTGACGGGCTTGTCCACACACATGGTGGGGTCTCACTGGCATCACTGAAGCTTCCAGAGTCAACGGCTGTGAGCGAGCACCGGCAGGCTTGGAAGGAGGGGCGGAGGCTGAGGTAGAAGCTGGAAAGGATGCACCCCGGGGATTTTCTATCCACTTCCACCAGCCGAGCCTGGGCTGGACTCGGCCCTGAGCAGACCTCATTCCTGCCCACTCTTAAGCTTCGACAAACCAAACAGCTCCCGTCACCTTCCCGTCCCTCACCCATTCTATTCTCAGGGCACTCTGAGGCTCTCTGAAGTCCTGCAGCTGTCTTGTGTTCTATGCCTGTCCTGGCCCCAGTTCCTATGGAAGCCGTGTTTCCTCCATCGCACTGGGAAATGCCCAGAGTAGGGGTGATACCTCCTCCATCGGATTGGGAGCTTCCTAAGACGGAGGCTGTTTTTCCCCCATAAGGTTGGGAGGTGGGGCTGTTGTATCCTTGCTCCCTATTGGACTCCCCATATCCCTCTGTCTTGGGGGCTCTCCCCACGCCTGCACCAGCCCTGTCCCTCCCCTCTTTGGGAGCTTTCCATCTCACAGCTGTGTGGGGGCAGGGGCCAGGAGCTGCTGCTGGCCAGGAGGCTGCTCCCCCACGGCCCACCCCAAATCCTCTGTTCAGTGAACGTGCTCCATGTTCACTGTGCCCACGTGACCCCCTCCCTGTGCCCCTCTGGGTTATGCAGTGAGTTTCAGGATCGAATCCTTGGGACTAGTTGTCTTTGGCTCTGAGCCCCAGATGTGTTGGGGAAGGTGCCCCAGGGGCCAGCTGTGTCAGCGTGGTCTCCTCTCAATGATGGGAAGCCAGGCAGCCGGGAAAGGGGAGACGAGGGGTTGGGTGGGACCCCAGGTCTCTGCCTTTAGGGACGGTGTAGGCAGTGATGAAGGGAGGGCTCCCTTGTCATGTGGCGTCCTAATCAGGAACAGCCTGGCAGTGGCCAAGACAAAGCAGGGATGACCGCCCAGTGGCCAAGATAGCAGGGTGGAGGGAAGGGGACCTGGGACAGAGGGGCATTACTCAAGACGGCATGACGTCCGAGCTGTGGATCCAGCCCCATGACAATGTTGCACATCGTGCCCTTTGCCATGCCAGGCCTTGGCACATGCTCTTCCCATGACCTGGAATGCCTGTCCCATCACCTAACATCTAAAAGGCTGTATTAGGTGTTTCGGGGACGGAGGAGGAGGTTGTCCCTCGTGGAAGAGGCTTAGACTTATTTGTATAGCAGACATTTAAAACAGTTGAACGAGAACGGGGGGGATGGGGTGCCGGTGTGGACACTTCCTGAGAGACTTTGTGACTCATTTTCTCCCATCTGTAGTGTGATCACATGATCACTGAGGCTCTTCCACCTTGACTCAGACTGAACGCTGTGAGCACAGTGTACCCAGCCCAAGGAGGGGGGAGGGGCAGCACCTAGGAGGTGCTCTATTGATGCTCTGGTGAACGAATGAATGACAGAACACAGAAGTGCTTCCAGGAATTCTGAAGATGGAGATGGGAGGGGAAGGGGAGAGAAATTGAAGGCAAAGAGGAAAGAGAGAGAAGGCAAGAATGGGAGGAAGATAATCTCTGACAGCCTGCTTCGTCTTTCCTTCTCCCTTCCTTGGTCTCCTCTTCTCCTGGCTCTCCTCCGTGCTCCCCACAGTCCCCCAGGGGCCACAGAGGGTGTATGTAGCTCCAGAGCCCTGACTAGGCCATTCCTTGCTAGCGTTCCCTCTGCTGGACCAAGATGGGAAAGAGGCACAGGATCAGTGGGGTTGAGAAGCCAGTTCAGTCCCCAGGGCGTCTTCAGTTCTGATGCCAAGGAGCTTGATCAAGCCCTTCCTGCAACCTCCCTGGCCTGGACTTAGCCTGATAACCCCATCCAGGGCTGAGAAGTAAGCTGGCTCCAGACTCCTGGGCTCTCTTTGTACAGGAAGCAATGGCCTTCATGCACTCCTAGACTCCAGGGTGGGGATTAGTGGGGACTATCAGGTAGGGGCCATGGCCACAACCAAGGTCATCAGGTAAGGTCTCCTCTTCCAGCCTCGAAGGTTACTCAGAGATCCTGAAACATCCTAGGAAGGGCCTGTGTGCAGAAGTCACAAGTCCAAACCCTTCATGTTACAAGCAGGGAAACTGAGGCCCAAGGAAGGAAGGTAGCCTTCCTAGGGTCACAGTTCTGGGCATTTAGGGGTGGAGCAAAGTCTGGAGTCTCAGCTTCCTGGCTGCCAGCCCTAAGCACACACGTGTGCTCTCTGTCTCCCTCCCTTTCTTCTGGCCTTCCTCCTTTCCTTAGTTTTTGCAATATTTTCCCCAAATTCAATAGCATTGCTGTTTAAATGGTCATTTAAAAAATACTAACTATAAACAAATGTAAAGAAAAAAAAAACAATAGCTCTGTCACCCTGAAGGCTAATGTTTGTTCACCTTTTGAATATAGTGTTCCATAATGTGTCATGCATGCTTTTTCCAAAAGTGGGATCGATCTTTGCACACTGGTTTATACCTCGCCTTTTTCTTACAGTTAGGTGTATGGAGATACAGTTCAGGCAGAGCAAAACTCTCTCATTTTGGAGAATAGAGTTCTAGAAAATTTTAGCAAATGTATTTCATCATGAAACTACTCTGAGTCCTATGGCAGGGACATCATTCCGTGTCAGTGGACCTAACCTAAATGCCCAGCAATAAGGGATTGAAAAACAAAACCAGTCATGCCCTAAAGTATTGAACCAATCCCCTAAGGCTGGGCATGGAGGTTGCCTCACACCCTTCGCTCTGGTGAGCAGTGCTGTGGGAAACACGCTCCTTGTGCTCAGGAGGGGTCTGTATGTCAATGCAGCAGTGGGTGGGAATGTGGGCACAAAGCAGCCCACCGTCTCCCTGGGCCCCCACCCTCTCCTTCCCTCTCGCCCGGCTGTAGGGAACCGGCTGGATGAGGGCTCGGACGTGGAGTCAGAACCCGACCTCCCTCTGAAGCGCAAGCAGCGCCGTAGTCGGACCACATTCACGGCTGAGCAGCTAGAGGAGTTGGAGAAGGCCTTTGAGAGGACTCACTACCCGGACATCTACACCCGCGAGGAGCTGGCGCAGAGGACCAAGCTGACTGAGGCACGGGTCCAGGTGAGGCGGCGCCTTGGGTGTTTGCCCTGCGGGCATATTGAAGAGGCAGGAATGGAGAAGGTGGAGGTGGCCAGCGTCCCAGGGTTTAGTGGGCCCCCAGAGGGATCTGCAGCGGGTGGTCCAGGGACTGTGTAGACCAGGAATGCCACTGGCACTTGATGCAGAGTTAAGTGGGCAGCAAGTGGTGCTTGACTGACTGAGAAAGGGGTGGACAGCCCCAGGGCAATCCAGGATGTGTCCTGGATTGTGCTCATCCCTCCAGGGACGAGTCAGGAGAGAGGGCTCGGGATGCATAAAACAGCTCCAAATCTCTGATGAGGGGAGGAAGTGATGAGGAGGAAAATTCCTGAAAGGCCTAGCTTCTTAAGACAGGTAAAGAGTTTCCCGTTACAGGTAGCATGCAAGCACAGGGTGCAGGCATGTTCCTGGTGGGTTAGAAGCATCAGAGGGAGGGTGGGCAGACCTCGAACACTCCCTCCACGCCCTCGAGTGTGTGGTTCCTCATCAGCAGGGGGCTGGGGGCAGGGAGTGTGGAGAAGGAGCAGAGCCTGGGCTTGGCCGGCCCCTCACCTGCCCCCCTGGCCAGCATCGGCGGAGGGAACAGCCCTCTCTCCCCAGGTGGAGAAGGAAGGCAGAGGGTCATGCTGCGCATCTCCTGTGGGAACTCCTTCCCGGACTGTCTTCTCCACAAGCGAGGGAGGTGGGTCGGTAGGAGGGGCCCCCCCAAACTGCTCACTGGGGACTCCCAGCTGAGGGGAACCAGCCTTTGCTGGACACCCACTTTGTTCCCGCCGGAACACTCGGGCCTTCTCACACATGACCTGGTGGAACCTCAGACCTCCTTGTCAGGCAGGTCACCTCCGGGCAGGCCACAGGGACAGAAACAGGCTCAGAGAAGTGACATGCCCAGGGGTACAGAGCTCAGCTGGGGCTGAGCTGGGCCCGGAACTCAGGAATAAGTTGACTCAGAGCCCGGGATGTGACAGCAATAGGGAAAGTTCTAGAAGCAAGCTGGCATGTAAGCGCTCCAGGAGTCAGCGTACCTCCCTCCACTCTCCCCACCCCCACTCCTGGAGTGGGGGGTCTGTGGCTGCCTTGGAGGGAGACCCCCAGGGGAAGGGGCAGGCGGCAGCAGCCAGCTCATCTCATCCCCTCCCCTCCTCTCCAGGCTGATACCCGAGCCTGCCCTCGCCTCCGGGCCTCCCCCCCTGCTCTGATCCTCCTGCAGCTGTTCTCCTGGGCACATTCCTGGGTGCTTTCTCATTCCCACGTCTGGCGGCCACGGCTGCTTCCCACCACCTTGAAGCCTGACTGCTCCTTGTAAAATTTCCTGGCTGTCAGGGCAATGCTTTTATTGGCCCAGGGGACCCAGAAACAGGTGTCACTCAAGGTCCAAGGAGGGAGGGGGGCTGGGAACAGAGGGAGCAGCCAGAGCCTAGGCAAACCGGTAGCGAGGGGGCCCAGGCAGACCTCTTGCACATGCTGACTCCTCTGTCATCCTTTGGGCTCCCCCAGGGCAGTGAGTCTCCCCAACTCTAGCCTGAGAACTTAGCAGGGGAGGGGTCCGTATATGTTGAGTTCGAAAAGAATGAACAAAGGCTGACCCCCCAAAAATCAAGACAAGAATGATAGAACATTTGACCTGGAGAAGAGATTTGGAAGATAGAGCTAAGAGGCCCCATAGGGTGGGGACTGGGAGCGACAGGCCTGGGTTTCCATTGGTCTCTGGCTCTGATCAGCTGGATCACCTTCAACAGATCAGTTTCCCTTCCTGAGACTTAGTCTCCCATCTATATATAAAGGAAAGGAACTAAGTGATCACTAAGCCTCTTAAAGTTCTAGGATCCTTACTTATTGACAATCAGAGCTGCATTGTGAGGTGATGAGATCCCCATTACTGGAAGCATTCAAGCCAAACTACAAAGTCCAGTCGATCAGAAACCCTGGTGAAAGCGCTCCTGCTGTGGATAGTAGAGTAGGGAGCTCAAAGCCTCCTGAGCACTGCTCCAATTCTATGGTGTTGGGGTCTCGGGTCTCTGTTTCTAAGAGTCTGTGGTTCTGGGATTTTGCAGTCCTGAGACATGTCATCTCAGTGGCCCCAGGGAGATGATGGGAGCGGGCTCCGAGCCAAATGCCGAGGTGTGAGGTCCAGCTCCAGCACGTACACCTCCGGCCTTAGTTTCCACATTTGCAAAGCAGAGATGGCAGTAACAGCAACCCCCCGCCTTGTTCTAAGGGTTCCAGGCTTACATGTGAAAAAAAAACACACACTCAAGGTTAGGTAGCGCCATAAGGGGGGTACATTCTTATTAAACTGCACCTGTTCTTGGTGGTTCCAATTCTGGCCACCCTGGAAACTCCTGGTGCATTCATCCGGCACTCACTTATTGAGCACCTACTCTCTGCGGGAAGCTGTTCTGGGCCCTGGGGCCTCAGCAGACAGAAATCTCTGCTGTCGTGGAGCTGATATCCCAGGAAACGAGGAAACAGGAACACATGTCAGGCGGGGTTCTAGTAACTCAAGTGCGTTCCCTCCCTCGGGCTCTGCTCCAGCCCGGCTTTTGAAGCCTCCAGGTGTTACCTGGCATCCCTGATGTCTGGGGGAGACACCCCGTCTCAGCTGGCAGCAAGCCACCAGGAAGTGTGGGAAAGGGGGTCAGGCAGGAGGACACATGCCTGGGGACCAATAACTTCCTCTGGAAGAATCTTCATTTTTAAATAGCGAGGGGCCAACCGTGCATCTTCCTTGGAGGTAAGCGGATCTGAATCTTGCCGTAACAGTAGATGATGTTTATGGTGCACGTCTTATGTGCCAGGCATGATGTGCTGTGTTCTACGTACATTATCTTTATCATCCTCCCCGTAATCCTAGGAGGTAGGTATGATTAGTCTCTTCCTTTCCAGGTGAGAAACCTGAGCTTTAGCTAAGGGCAGAAATTTCCTGAAGACACAGTTACTAAGCAGCCGTGCTGGGGCTTGAACCTAAGTCTGCCTGTCCCTTTCCTTTCTTCTGTGCTCCATTGAGAGAGGGGCCAGATGGACTACTTAGCTCAGTAAGCAGCTGCTTCCTGCAGCGTCCTGCCCCCAGTGCAAGGTGTTGAGGGAAGGATCAAAAATGGATACTAAAACTCAGCCTCTGCTCTCGAAGAATGCAGCCTCGATCAGGGATTCTGGGTGGGTGCTCGGGCTACCCCTGTCCCTGCTGGAGCCTCCATTCCCCACCTGTGAATGGGCAGCTTGCTCTTTCAGCTGAGCCATCAGAGGCTTTCCAGCAGGATGATAGTTGCAGATGTTGTTCTAAGCACTTTGCCCGTGCGAACTCATTCAAGGTTCAGAACCACCGGAGGGGGGTGCCGTTATTAGGCACAAAGAAACAAAGACACAGAGGGATAAGGGAATTTGCCCATCTTAGTAGGAATTAGAGGCAGGATTCCAAGCCCAGGCTGTCGGGCTCCAGAGTCCCTGCTCTTAATCATCCCGTTACACTTTGTGAGGAAGGAGGTACCTGTTAGGATGGAGACATCCCTGGGAAAAGAGAACAATAGAGGAAGAAGAGGTGAGAGAATTGATAGCAAAGGGCATGTCATCTCCTCTGGGAAGTCCTCTCAGATTCTGAGAGGTAAAGGTGGAAGCCTGTCCTCAGACCTCCTCCCAGCACGTGTATGTCCCCTGAGCTTACCGCCCTGGGAAACAGGCATTCTTTGCCTTGTCTGTCATGTGCCCAGGTGGAGAGCAGCTTGAAGGAAGGCTAGGACTGTCCCGTTCAGCTCTTTATCCTTAGCATCTCGCTTGGCACGGAGCAGAGTCCCAGCAAAGGTTTGAGATGAGAAGGAGGGAAGGAGAAGGAAAAGACGGAGAAGGATGGATGGGGAAGAACGTTTCCAACTTTCTTTAGTATTCTTTATTCGAGGAAAGGGTGACTCCCAGCTAAGGGACAGCGACAGCGTGCCACACGGGAGCAGCGGGTCCCACACCTAAGTCATTCTCTAACCAGCTTCGAGATTGCTGCCACTTATGCAGATTACCCATATTGTTATTCACTTCTAAAATAAAATCAATATATTTTAAAATGAAAGCATCTACCACTGTCACATAAGGAAGGGCTTTGGAAACAAACACCAGGGAAGACCGAACAACATGATGGAGGTCCAGCAGGAGAACAGCACATGCAGGGGCTCCCCTCTGTGTGTTAAAAAGGGACTAAGGCCTCATCAGCACCAAGCCCAGACCTTGTCTTCCACACGCCCAGAAGGCCTGGAGGACAAGTAAAGCGGTTCCGGGCTCTTTAAGGTCTGTGTCGCTGCCCACTGGGATGTCCCTCCAGCGTGGGGTGCTAGGAGGCCCACCCTTCGGGAAACACGGAATGGAAACAAACATGAGCCCCCCACCCTCTCCCAGAAGCAGGGATAGAGGAGACATTGCCCGCTCCTCGCCAGTTCAGAAGCCCCTCGGTCCGACGGGTGACATCCATCCCACCAGGACGCCCTTGGAGAGACCCTCAGTGCCCTGGGGATTGGAGAGAAGCTGGGACCTTAATTTTTATTCAGAGCCCATTTTCACTCCTGATCTGACTGCCTCATCCCCTTTCTCCGTACATCCTAAACACGTCAGGGGCAGCTATTCTGTTCATCTGGCTCAGAAAGCTAAACATAGCTTCTCTCCTCCAGAAGGATCCAGAAAACAAAAGAAGACACCAGGGACACATAAACACCCCCCTTCCCTCCATCCAGCTGAGACTGCCCTCCCCCATGTCTGCAGACTTGGTCTACAGGTTGGGGGGGTTCTTAAGTGATCCTGTGCCAGGAGCGGTCACCCATCCCACCGCATGGGCAGGGGGCGGGGGAGCTCACGAGGAAGCTGGAGGCCTCTGGTGAGGAGGCAGGACCTGCCTGAACTTGCCTTAGATCCAGTGATGAGGGAATCAGAGAGGAGGAGGCATTGCAGCTGAGCCTGCTGGTCGAGGAGTCGGCTGCGGGAAGAGGGTCTGGGTTAGAGGGAACTGCATATGCAAAGCCCAGAGCTGGAAAAGGAGCCCCCCTGAAGTAGCCCCTGTGTCCCATACTCATTCTCCTTTTCGGGCCCAGAACTCATTGCAAATCCAGACAGGTGAGTTCTAGAAAGTCAGACTGATTTAAGTTTGAACCTCAGCTTCGTTACAGCTAGCTGGGTGGCCTTGGGCACATTATTTGACCTGTGTGAGCCTCAGTTTCCCCTTCTGTGAAATGAGAATAGGAGGACATGTCTCATGGGTCTCCATATGGACAGACGTGAAGCACTAGCACAAGGCTTGCATCAGAGGAAGACTCAAATGCGTTAAGTTATTTTTCCATGGATGCTTAATAAACGCGCATGTGTGTGTGAGGTGGGTTCTCCTGATCAAGGGGGCCCATGCTGGGTAAGCAAAGTTTAGCAAAGCCAAGCCTCTGGCTCCGAACAAAGGACTGGTTCTCACATCTGCCTCTGCAGGTGGGTCTCATTCAGGCAGGTTCCCGACATGGGGCTTCCTGGGGGGGACCGTGTGTTAGAACAAGGATGGTCACCCACATGTCCATCCATCGGGGCGGGAGCAGCTGTAATGGAAAGAACACTGCACCCAGAGTCACTCAGACCTGTCTGTGCCTGCAGCTCACCCTGTCATGTGAGCAAGTCACCCACTGTCTCTGCATCTCCGTTTGCTCATCTGTAAAATGGGGATAACAGTGATAATCCCCTCACTGGGTGGTGGTGAGGGCAGGATGGGATCACGCCCACAGAAGTGCTCTGCTCGCTGCCCCGAGCTGCAGGAAGGTGCGGATCTCCTCCCACGGAGGAGGATCCTGGCTGGACAGAGGGTGATGGCTCGGGGACCGGTTCTAGCTGTGTCACTGCTCTCCACCTGGAGCCGGGCTGAGGGCTCTCCACTCTCCGCTCTCCACCCCCAGGTCTGGTTCAGTAACCGCCGCGCCCGTTGGCGTAAGCAGGCAGGAGCCAACCAGCTTGCAGCGTTCAACCACCTTCTGCCAGGGGGCTTCCCGCCCACCGGCATGCCCACACTGCCCCCCTACCAGCTGCCGGACTCCACCTACCCCACCACCACCATCTCCCAAGGTGAGTGCGCAAGCTTATCCGGGTACCTCAACCACACCCTTTCACCCCCACCCCCACATTCCTCCCTTCCTTAACCAAGAAGGAATCATAAGGGCTATTTTTTAAAGATTTTATTTATTTATATGAGAGAGAGAAAGAGCAAGAGCAGGGGGAGGGTCAGGGGAAGAAGCAGACTCCCTGATGAACACAGAGCCCTATGCGGGGCTCAAAGCAGGGCTCGATGCAGGGCTCGATCCCAGGACCCTGAGATCATGACCTGAGCCCAAGTCAGACTCTCAGCCAACTGAGCCACCCAGGTGCCCCAGAGCTATTTTTTTAAGTGACCATTTGTCTATTTGCATATGGATAGACGATTAAGACAAAAAAAAGGTTTTGCCATTGAACTTCTTGGTTCTGCCAACAGACCACAGAGCATCCAGGTGAGGATGCACAACGTAGCCTCCCTACACACCTTTGGAACAGAGCTTCTCAAACTGTAAAGTCATGTGCATCTCCTGCAGTATTACTAAAATGCCTAAGTGACATACAAGGCAACCCTCCCTCCCTGGACCTTCCCTCCATTCTGCGTTCCTCCCACACTCTTCCCCACCCAGCACACATTAGCGATCCCACCACTTGACATCTGACTCATGAAGTCCCCGTGGCTCCCTCTTAAAGGGCTGGCAGGCTGGAGTTCTGGAAGGCGAGGAGAGAGGCAGGAGACCCTCCCTATGACTCTTGATGAAAAATTGAGGACCATCCCATTCTCTGCAAGGCTGCATGGAGGAGCCCTGGCAAACGGAACAACAACCCTGCAGCCAGGAGCAGAAATGGCAGCTCAAACCCTGGCCCCACCACTCACTAGCCTGGTCACCTTGCACGAGTGCCCCGACGTGGGGATCGTGTTCTTGCCTCATCCCCTTAGCCAGTACTCATAAAGGCACCCGGCAAGTGGTTGGTGCCCACAAAATGTCATCGGGACAGGCCTGGGTAGATGAACAGAGTCCCCAGCAAGGTCTGACTTTGAGTCCAGATGACATTTATCAAGCACCTACTACTGTGTGCTAAACACTGAGCCACATGGCTGGTTCACAATTGCTTTGAGGTCATGTGGAGCATCGTTTAGCTGTCAGTCAAGACTTGGCTAGTCCCTAGTGCCCTGCCCAGAAGCCAGCTTGTCCCATCCCGAGTAGTGAGAGAAGCGGTCCCTCCTTCCGCTGGATGGAGCCTGGGAGGAGGAGGGTCCTGGCTTGTTTTCCAAGCAGATGCTTCTTTCCCTGCGCTGGGACGTCCACCATCTGGGCTGGGGCCACTTGCTCAGGCCTTCTCGTGGGTCTCTCCACAGATGGGGGCAGCACCGTGCACCGGCCCCAGCCTCTCCCACCGTCCACCATGCACCAGGGGGGGCTGGCCGCGGCCGCCGCAGCCGTCGACACCAGCTCTGCCTACGGAGCCCGCCACAGCTTCTCCAGCTACTCGGACAGCTTCATGAACCCGGCGGCGTCCTCCAACCACATGAACCCCGTCAGCAACGGCCTGTCTCCCCAGGTAGGTGGCCTCACCAGACCGGTGTCCAGGAAACCACAGGCTCTTGGGTATCTTGAGAGAGTTACAGTGGCCAGTGGGGATGCTCCTTCCACTTTCACTGGTCGGTATTCTGGGATCCTCCGCCCTGGGTTTATGCTCTTCAAGCTGCAGGTCTGGGTGACCCAGCAGGCAGATATGGAGAAAGGGTTCTGTCCACCAGAAGCACACAGAGACCGCATTATAGATGTGCTCCGGGCCCGAAAGCCGCCCCCCCCGCCGAGCTTATGAAATGCCCCCACCCACCTCATGGCTGTTCGGCCCATAAAAGTCGGGCATCTTCAGACAGCGTGTGGGGGGAAGCCTTGTACCATTTCCTGTGAGGTGCTGACTATGGTTTGGGCTTTGTTCTAGAACCAGGAGTCCTTCCTGGATTCCATCCTGTGCTCCATCTCTTGCCTTTCCCCAGGAGAGACCTATGAGTGAGAGGCAGGACCACATCCGATTTGTAGCGAGAAACACGGCTGAGGTTCTAGACTGGGAACTCTGCTCCCATTGGGTCTTGGAGCTCATTCACTCACACGCGATTGGTTGCTGGCAAAGTCCTTCGTTCCCTGTCCCTGCTGTTAGAAGGCGTGGGGCCACCCTAGATCAAGTCAGAAAGACAGTGCTGAGGCTGATGGCGGTGACTGGTGGGTCTGGGGAGCAGGACGTGGTGATACTGGTCACCTTGAGGGTTCCTTTCTGTGGCTACAGCAGGCTCTCAAATATCCATGGAGGAAAGAATTAAATCCAAGGCTGGCTTCACCCTGCCTCCCACCTTCTGAGCGGCCTCTCTCATGTCTGTGGGAACACACATGGCGCAAGCTTTTCTGAACAGCTGTGGTTTGGGAGGAAAGGTGGAGGCTGGCAGGGGGTTGAATCCCAGCTCCAGTGCTCAGGGGATTTGGGAAGTTAGCATCTCTGAGCCTCAGTTTATCCCCCATTGAACTAAAGAGTGATGAAACCAGGTGTTGCTGATCTCCTAAGAAGGGTGTTCCAACTGGCCAAAGCCTTAGCCCTGAGCATGGCACAAAATAGAGGCCAAAAATACATTAGTCCTCCTGCCAACCGCCCTCCCCTGCCCCCACCATCACCAGGACGATACAATTAGTACGAGAAACCTGTTCCTTGAAGAAAAAAGGGGACCAAAGGGGAGGTCAGCCATATCCATCTCGCGTCCTGTTTTTGTCAATAAAGCTTTATTGGCACATAGCCATGCCCATTTATTTACGTATTTATGGATGCTTCAGGGCTACAACACCAGAGCTGAGAAATTTCAAAACAGACCACATGGCCCACAAGGCAAATAATATTTGCCATCTGGCCCTTACAGAAAAACAATTGCTAACCCCTGGTCTAAGACCTTCGCAAGAATGTTCATTTTCTGTGTGATTTGGGTTCATCCCTGTTTGCCTGTTAGTGAGTGTGGTTGACAGCTGAGTACATTTTTGTGTCATCGTCTATTTATGGGTAAGATCCCTTCCCCTCTCTCTGCCTTGATTTTTCCCACCCATGAAATGGGGATGACACTAGCATCTATCTCATAGGGTTGTTGAGGAAGGTATGAGCTGACGCGCATAAAGCACTTAGCCCAGGTCCAGGGCAGAGCTGAGCTCTGGGGAACTTGAGCAGCTCCGTGCAGAGCTCTTAATGGTGATGCACCAAGTCCTGTTGGGGCCCACGTTATGGGGCGGGGGTGATGCAGCCTGCAGACCAGAATGCTGACCCGCTGGAACCTAGTTGGCCTCTTTGGGGTTCAAGGCCTTGGCTTTGGTACTGAGGACAACCTGGCTGAGCTAACCTTCCAGAGAGTCAAGAGACAGACAGGACAGGATCCCAGAGCTGGCTGGGTGACCGTGGCAGCAGAGACCCGAGGTCTCTACACCTGAGGATGTGGTCCAGGCCTGGCCTCACAGTACGAAACAGGTTAGAGGAGCATCACTTGGAAATCTGAAGAGAGACATTAAGATTATATGGGCCAGCCTTCTCACTTTACAGATGGGGGCCGGGGACACATCGGCCAGGCCAGAGCCAGGAGTCTAAGGTACCTGGCTCGCTGACTACTGTTCCTCGTAGCCCACTGTCTCAGCGTAGGCTGAGGTTTCTCCCCAACACGACAGTTTTGCCACAGGGCAGAGGAGAGACAAGCCAGTAAGGGGACCCTGGCTTCTGGAGCGTGGCTCAGCAATGGGATAAAGGGTGAGGATGTCCCATGCACTGTGTGGGCCCAGAAACAAGCCTCGGGGAAGGAGGAGAGAGAAAAAACAAAACGAAACAAAACAGCCATTACTGTAAGCAGCCAGTAGCCCAACCTTCTCCCCACCTGAGCTGGATCCTCACCTCTCCTCCCAGAGACCCTTGCTTGGGAGGCTTCCTCCCCGCACTTCAGGTGGCGAGGCTGTGAGGACATGATGGATTGGGCCAACTCCGGAGACTTGCCCAGAGGTTCCCACCGAAGGTGTGAAGACAGATGGAGGGTCTGACAGGGGCAGAGGGGACCAGGAGGTGAACAGCTGTCGGCAGGGAGAGGGGGCTGCGCGCAGGGAGGGCAGGAGGGCAGGCCGTGTGCGCTTCTGTCCGTGTGAACTCCCGGGCTTCAGCTTGGATCACTTCCGGAGGAAGGGGGCAGTGAGCGGGTGTTTCTGGATCTGTACAAAAGTTTCTGGTATTTGTGAGTCCTGGGACGCCCCCTCCTCCCTCTGAGCAGGCCAACTGCATGTCTTGGGCACATCTCCGCGGTCTCGGGAGGGGTGGGGGGTGGCGTTCTCCACCAGGACGGATCCCCTTCCTTGGGTCCTGTCCCCCCAACAGCAGGGAGGTTGTCTGGAGCTCGCATGGGCAAGAGGGATGGGGTGGGCTCCGCCTGGGATGGGGCGTCCCCTCCCCCCGGACTGCAGGTCCCCACCACTGCCACCCAGATAGCCTTGGCCCTTGCTCTTACAAAAGCCCAAGGGGATTCTGTTCGGGGATGACATCGGGGCTCTGCTGAGCACCTGCTCATCACACTGGCCGGTTTGGGCCAGACCCGGGTCCTTGTCTCAGACCCAGCCTGGGAAGTGGGGGCTGTCAAGCCTCAGAGATTCCACGGAGAGACTGGCCAGCAGAGTCCCATGGAAAAGCCATTTATTCAGCTCTGCCCTGGACCCTGGCTCTCACAGAACAAATAGTTACGGAGGGCCTGCTATGTCCAGGCCCTGTTCTAGGCCCTGGGGATAAATCAGTTAACGTAAGGGATGGAGACCCCCTGCCCTAAGGGAGCCAGTGGTCTAACAGGACAGACAGACAGTACATAATAATTAACAGCAAGTTCACGCTATGTGTCTGATACCACTTTGACAAGGACAGCTAAACTTTCAAGCCCCTGTGACTCGGACCCTGTTCTGAGTGTTTCCTATACCCTCACTACTTGGGCGGCAAAGCCAGGATTCAGCCCTCCTCTCTGGAGCCTAGAATGGTAACTGCCCTCCTGCCTCAGAAATGTGCACGCTTACCCTCTTTTTTGGAGATTGGCAGCAAGAAGAAATCCTCTCCCCCTTCAGCTCGGTGGAGGGGAAAGCTCATTCAACCCATGTCTTGGATGAGAAGACTGAGGCCAGGGCCTCAGGTCAGGGGCCACTGGGCAGAGTTGAGTCACATGGGCAGAAAAGCCTTCTGAGAGGTTCAGACACCAATGAGGCTTGGTTCCCTCGTAGCCCCACCCCTCCACCACCTGCCAAGCCCAGCTTTACAAGATCGGGGACTCAGCGCTCAGCACATGGACGTCCCCAGCTTTGTGCCTGGGGTCCTTCTGAAGAGGTACAAGGAAAACCAACACAGCTGACCCTTGAACAACGTGGGGATTAGGGATGCCCACCCCCCCACACCGTTGAAAATCCACGTATAAGTTTTGACTCCCCCAAAACTTTACTAATAACCTGCTCTTGCCCTGAAGCCTTACTGAGAATGTAAAGTGCATCAATGCCTATTTCGTAGGTTCTATTCCTTTTATACTGTGTTCTTACAAGAAAGTGAGCTAGAGATGTTATAAGAAAGGCATAAGGAAGAGAAAATACATTTGCTCCCCTTATGTGAGAGCTGGGGTCCAGGGCAGAGCGTATTCAGTGCACCCACGCAGTTCAAGCCCGTGTTGTTCAAGGCTCAGTGTCCTGCCCGTAAGACATCGGGAACTAGGATTCGCAGACCCCCTAGGCTGAGGTCCTTGGAAACAACTCTTAGAAAACAACTCAGGACAACTTAGGGCAAGAGGAACCTTTTGTGGCGTGAACGTGAACGACAGCGAGCAATCTGATGCTTGCCATGGCAGGGTACGCCGGTAGGGGGAGTGGGCAGGGATACAAAGGGGACACCTATGTATAGGTCCCTGAGGATACCTGCCCTTGGGAATTCCCCAGTCTGATGGGGGAGACACGGCTCCTGCCTTGAGGGGCTCCTGGTCTGAGAGAGGAAGGACTCTGCTCCCGTCCTCAGGAGCTCACAGTCAGAAGTGGAAAAAACGCTGTCCTTAGATGCCCTAGGGCGACGGTAGGAGCCAATGCTGTCCTGGAGAGCTCCCAGTTTGAGGGGACACAGGCTCAGAAAGTCATTCACGGCTGCTCACCATCCAGAGTCCCGAGGAAAGAATCAGGAGTGCAGTTCTGTCCGCTGGCTGAAGGCTACGGGCAGCGTAGGGTGCCCTGTGCTGGGGGCTTCTTTGGGGTCCTTGTGGGTGTGTCCCCGGGGCAGGAGGACCCGCCCTTGGCTTGAGCTTCCTTCTCCCCCAGTCTTTTTAGATGCAGATTCTATCAGAGTTGGAATTGGAAACTGAGGCCCAGACAGGGGGAGAAAATTGCTCCAAATCCTAGTCGCGTTAGCGGCAGGGCTGGGACCGGCCCCAGAGCCCCAGACCCTCAGCCAAGGGCCCCTGCCACTGCTTCTCAGAAAGGGGACATTTCTTTCTTGCCACCACAGCCCATTTTGCTCCCTCATAAGGCCCCACATTCGTCATGTCCTTGGCTTCTCTCTGGAGCTTAACGGGAAGGAACCTGTAAAGGGATTTACATATTTACCATTTCCCCCGCGCTGAACTAATGAAACGTACTCTAAGTGTGTGGTTCATCACATGGCCGTGATCAGCGTACAAGGCTTTTTGTCCTTTTGGGCTCCCTGATGTTCTTTTCTCCTTTCCCTCTTTTGCCCGGAATAATTACAGCGACAGCTAAAGTGGAGTAGACGTTCCTGGCGGGCTGGCTCCGACGGAGCCAAATGTTGTA